AGGGTCAGGGCTGGGTCTGTGGTCACCGTCCCGCCTCCAAGCTCACCCACCGGCTGTCCTCTGCGCACACGCCCACCTGCAGCGCGGAGGCCCCTGCCCAGGGGCCGGCCGCCCCTTCACCCCGCACCTGTCCACACACCTTCCCTCCGGGCTCAGGGTCAGCAATCCACCCACTCCACACTGTTCCCCAGTGCCCACCTGAAACTCTGGCCCACTCCTGGGGAAACATGCTCCCAGGACCCCTGAATCACAGACTGGGTGATTGCACCCTTTCTAATTTTATGTAACCACAGATTCAAAAGGTGCATTTAAGACTGCTGGGAAAGTCTGCCACTGCTGCTCGGGAAGTCGGCTTTGTACTCTTGACAGCGTCCCCTCCTTTCTCTTCTCTCCCCCGTCACCAAGGCTGTCCCCTCACCCCCCCCCAGGACCCTCAGGGGACAGCCAGCATGCCAGCCTCTGCCGACCCGACAAGCTCATCACCCGGTCACCCCCACTTCACGGCCACAGCCAGCACCCGGCATCAGTCCTCATCCACTTGCGGGCAGTTAGCAAATCCCTCCTTGTTCAAACATTCAGCCTTGCTCCCTGCGACACCTGGACAGCAGGCAGGAGGGACACCCAGGGAGGAGGACTGGATAGACTCATAGTATGATGTATAATTTATAAAACTAAGTAGCATAATTGTGTCTGGACAGGTTAAACAATAAAATTTGGTTTATAAATTCAATGTTCTGGTAATCGTTTCAGAACAAATTTAAGTCAAACCATTCTGCTGTACACCGTAAACTGATACAGGGCTGAATGTCAACTCTATCTCAGTAAGACTAGGAAAAGTATTTATCATTTTTTTAAAAAGAAAAAAAAAGACATATCATATAATTCATCAATCCCACTCCTGGGCATGTATCTAGAGGGAATTCTAATTTGAAAAGACACCTGCACCCCAGTGTTCATAGCAGCACTATTTTCAATAGCCAAGACATGGAAGCAGCCTAAATGTCCACAGACGGATGACTGGATAAAGGAGCTGTGGTATATTTATACAATGGAATACTACGCAGCCATGAAAAAGGATAAAATGATGCCATTTGCAGCAACAAATGGATGGACCTGGAGATTGTCATACTAAGTGAACTAAGTCAGACAGAGAAAGACAAATACCATATGAGATCACCCATCTGTGGAATCTTAAAAAAAATGGCACAAATGAATTTATTTACGAAACAGAAAGAGACTCACAGACATAGAAAACAAACTTACAGTTACCAGCGGGGAAACGGTGGGGGGCAAGGACAAATTAGGGAGTCCAGGATTTGCAGATACAAACTACTATATTTAAAACAAACAACAAGGCCGTGCTGTACAGCACAGGGAACTGTATTCAATATCTTGTAATAACATATAATGATAAAGAATCTGAAAAAGAATATATATGTGTGTAATTGAATCACTATGCTTTACAGCAGAAACTAACACACTGCAAATTAATCGTACTTCAATTTTAAAAAAAGAAAAGAAAAACACAGAAAATTACAATCAAAAAAGAGAAGTTTCAAATCTTAAAATAAATCACTGCAGGACTTTTTCAAAGGAAAGCTGCACCCTTCATAAAGGCCAGAAGACCCTGCCCTTTACGAGGAGAAGTATAATTGAGCAATGTTCGTGATACATTAAAGCAGTCACTTGTAGCACTGAAAGCAGAATATTCGCATTTCAAATCATCATAAGAGGATAAAAAGAAACGAGGAATACTTTAAACATCAAAGGGAGATGAAGAAGCATTCAAAGCAGAAAAAATTGATTCAGAAGACGGATGACCGGGACCAGGAATGTCAACCATCCCATTCCTTTCTTTTCAAAATAATACTCAAAAATATTCTGACGTTAAAAAAAAAGCCAAATTGAAATAGACAAGCTTTAAAAGGCAAGCTAGAAAAGGGAGCGACACAGAGCAAGCAAACAGATCCATGACCAAAAGCCAAACTGAAACACACAACAGCCAGGGCTGCAGTGAGACGCGTGTGTGTGCAAACACAACATGCACACACCTACAGAGAGCACCCTTGGAGGATTCCCACTGTTTACAAGAGGAAAATGAAGTGTGAGGGTCAAGGTCGTAGTGATGGGAAGGCCTGAAGGAGGTCAGAGAGCTCAGGCCAGAAGTCCACGCTCTTAACCAGATGCCTACTGTCCTGGGGTTTTCAATAAATTGCAGGCGGACAGCCCAGGCATCACTTGGAAACGTGTAAACGTGCAAATTCTGCAGCCCAGATGCAAACCGACTAAATCAGAAAGTCTGGGGCTGGGCCCTGCAAGGCACTGCGTGCTCACTGCACACTGGCTGAGCTCGCCCCCATTGCTGGTCCCCACCCACATCCAATCCATTTCCGGCAGTTTTTAAAAACCCCAGGTAACCCGTGAAAATAAAATCTTGAAGTCTTGCATTGCTTTAAGTGCTGTGGGTGTTTCTGCCGGTAAGGACCACCCTTCTCATCTCTTTCCTTTACAATTATTAGTCCTTTTTTTTATGATGTTTGCAAAGGAAAAAAAATCGGGAGAAAATTGCAAGAAAGCTTTGAAGAGTCACACCTCACTTTGTGGGGGCTGGGGAGCGGGACCTCCCGCCACGGAGCCGTTTGAACTGAAAACACCATCATTTACTCAAAATGCTGTAACGGAATCCCAACTGGAAGCTTGTGCTTCGTACGTTTTTGCCTTTTTAAAAATCCATTATTTTTTTCCCGTGCAATTTTTTTTTTAAGATTTTTAACTTTTTTTTGTAAAAACATGTATTTGTGTGTGGGGGGTGGGATAATTAGGTTTATTTGTTTGTTTCTTTTTTTTCAGAGGAGATGCTGGGGCTGGAACCCAGGACCTCTTGCATGCTAAGCATGCACTCCAGCCCTTCGAGCTATACCCTCCCCCTCCTATGCAAATAGAAAGAATCCTTAAGTTCAGCTTTTCTCCTGCAGGCATCCGTGGGAGGGGGCTGAATGACCATCACGATTACCTGCTGCAAAGAATGACCCCATCGTTTCAAACGGTGTGTCATTAAGCACGAGGGTGTAAATCTGCCCACGTGTGTGACAATGACCCACGATTTCCCGTTCTCCATCCTTTGAAAGGGAGTCCTGTGAAATGGGCTCTGCGAGTTTCAACAGGACATCACCCCAGCCGGGCAGCCCGTCCTCCAGCTGTCCTCTGCCCAAATCCAGGGCCCGGGGCTAGGACGCAGACTCCCCAGAACAGGGACTCCTCTCGGTCATTCCCCTCTCGGCTTTGCCGTCTGTCTGCATCCGTCTGCACAAACCTTGATAAAGGATCTTCTAAACCCACTGCCTCCACCCCTCAAAGCTGTGCACTGACTGCCTGAGAGGCCCCACGCTCTCCAGGGAGACTGTCTCAGCTGCCCGAACCCCACTCCTCTCGGGGCTCCCCCTGGGCTCCACGGAAAGTCCTCCTGCCCGTCACACGGAGGTGCTCCCGGAGACCCTCTGGTCCCCACGCCAGTCTGCACACAGCTCCGTCTTCCAAGTGACCTCACTCACCCCCGCGGCGTCCACCTCCGTCTCAGCAGGGACGTGGTCCCATCCTGCCCTCTGGTCACCACGCTGCCTGTAGTCCCCACACCCCAGCGCCACCCCCGCCTGGTAAAGGACACCTGGTCCCACCCGTGGGCAACCCACCCTGGTTAATGGGGCACAGCCCACAGACCTGCAAGCCCCCACCCCATCTGGGAGCATTTAGGGACCAGGCCAGAACTCAGGGTGCAGCCACGCGAGAGGACAAACTGGCTTTAGAAAGCTGAAGACTTTCCACCTTGGCTCCTCCCCGGAGAACCGCATCACTGAGAGCTGTGACACAGGGAACAAACAGGTGCCCGCGCCCCCTGCCCTGCCCCTCAAGGGCCTCGGGAGCTCCAGGCCCCAGCCCAGCTGTGGGAGCCCCCCTCGGGCTGGAGGAGAGGGCATCGGAGCGAGCAACCGCGGTCAAGGGAGGGGTGTGCAGCTTGGAACTTTTGGGGGATTCCCCCCCAGAGCAATCTTGGGGTCACACTCTGTGGTCCCTCTGACAGTCCAGCTCAATCCAAGCAGGGCAGGGCCCCCACGGACAGATGCAGCTCCCCACGCCGTGCTTCCCACGTCGGGGGACCCCACTGCGAAAGCCGCCGTTGATAATTCGATTTCAAACCCCAAACGGGGGGATTAGCTGTGAAGCGAGGCTGCGCTTCCACACTGTGTCCCCGCCCAGAGGTGCCTGATCGGGCTCCCGCCTTGGGAGGGGGCTGCGTTCGCCTAGGACCACCAGGAGGAGCGACACAAGGTGTAGGCTGGTCAGATGGCCCAAGAAGACGGGGCTCGGGGCGCTCAGGGGTATCTCCTGCCTTTTTCAGGTGGGTCTCTTCAACACCGTGAAGGCTGGTCAGAACCCAGGCCCTGGCCTCCAGGCATGTCAGCGCCACTTGTAAGGGCTCTGGTGTCACAGGTGACGGACCAGCGTGGGCGCATCACCCAGACCCCGGATGGCCAGGATCCTTCGTGTGCCCACGCCGCCCGCAGAGTGAAGACAAGGTCCCAGACGCCCGGCCCCGTGCCCTGAGCCTCGGACACCGGAGAGGGCATGCTGAAATCAGCCACGGAGCACACGTACGGGGGCTGAGAAAGTTCGAGAAGTTCGCGGTCCATGGGAGTGAGGGTGGGGGCTGGAGATGCTATGGCTCCTCTAACCCCGTAGGGGGACTCGTCCCTGTCTTCATGGACCCCCTCTATTTCTTCATCCTTGCCGACTCACCACCCCAGGAAAAATCGGCTGTCATGTCCGCTTCCAGAGAAACACGAAAACTTCACACGTGTTCTTCTGGAACTTGGAACAGGACATGCGAAATGGCACTTGGCACCTGGGGTAAGGCTGAGCCTTGGGAAGAACCTGCTGAGTGAGCCTGAAGCGTTAAACATCCTTCCGTTCTGCGCTGTGGGCAGTAAATGCCACGGGGAGCAAGAGGTCGGGAAGGCAGGTGATGAAAAGGAGAAATGAGGTGGGAAAGGGAGGAGGGCAAGATGGAGACACCCCACAACCCCCGTACCAAGGACTGTGGACCCCAACTTCCCAGCCCCTCTTCAGCCCGTTGGCCCGGGGGTCCCTCTGTTAGGGGCTAGTTCAAACATCGCCACATTGAAGACTTCAACCCCAGGGCCTCAGAATGTGACTGTATTTGGTGACACCACTTTGAAAGATGTAATGAAGGTAAAATGAGGTCTTTACAGGGACCCTAATCCCATATACGACTGGTGTCCTTCTAAGAGGAGACAGAAACAGATCACGAGACGAGATGGAGACACATCCTGAGAGGACACAGGGAGGAGACGGCCCTCTACGCACCAAGAGACGCCGCCGAAGAAACCAGCCCTGCCGACAGCTTGATCTCAGACTTCTGCCCC